GGTGAAAGGAACTTTCTCCTACTCACAAGATTGGTCCAAGCAACACGGGATATGTTTCTCTGGTTGAAGAGCTCAAGGACGTAAGCTATATGCGAAGTTATAGCAGTGCAAAACACCTAATGTAGGGCTTATACGATACAAGACATTTTACCGAAAGACCAACCAAGGTTACCCGCGAGTGACCTCTCGTGGGCCCCTAGAACCTACTAAGTAATATTGCACTGAATAGTCTAAAGTCTGTGTGCCTTGCACTGCATTATCTCTCCATATATCTTGCGCGTTTAGCTAGCTACTATGCAATAGATAAAATATCCCCATTACCTTCTCACGCGGGGAAGAACAAGGCGACCATGGGAAAAAACTACATTTTCGCCCTCGAACCGAGCGATAGACCGGTCCCCGCCCTCATGCCGCATAGGAGAAATCGTGGTCGGGGTATTGACCGAGCCGATCTCCATGTTAAGTTTCTGTCCTGCATCAAAGAGAAATGCAGCGGGATACAGAGGCACCAACACCGAGTAGACATTCGCAGGAACCACGTCAGAAGGTGGAAGCTGGGGCTGAGCCAGGATTCGCTCTTTGGTAAAGTTCCTTGCAACCTCATCCCGGTGCGACAGACGAAAGTAACCGCGAGCAAAGTTGTCCATAGGCTCCCCGTGATTGCCCTTCAGAACGATCGTATTTCCGTCCTGGTCAATTGCACGGAGATGGATGAAAAGATCCAGATCCCGGGCCGTCGTGCTGACCTCAAGCTCCATGTATGGCGAGCCCAGGAGCTCAAAGGATTCTGTAAATGCAGCATTCAGTTCGAACATAAGATTATCCCTGAGAGCTTGGTAGGTGAATGCGGCTTTTGCCTCGGCCGGCCTTTCAAGAGACAGTCTTTTGCCAGGGGTCAAGTAAAAGCTGGTATCTTCAGCGTCAGGCGGAGGGAAAGCCAGCTCATGCTCTCGATACAAGGTCTCGGTGCCATGATGCTGAAGCAATCGAATTCGAGGAACATCAAACATTCCATTGTCTGTTTTGTCGAAAAGGAAGCAGTCGAGGAACAGCTTCTGTAGTTTGATATGCTCAGGCTCGTAAAAGGCTCCTAGATGGTTTCCCGTGTGCATTTCAAGCCACTTGTGTTTGGAGCTTATGCCGTTAAAAGCACGAAGATTGCCGGGCAGGTGGAGCTCCGGGTCGGTCCAGTTTCCTGCGCTGTAGAATGGGACTTCAATGTCTGACAACCTGCGGACTCGTTCCAGTACAGACCAAGGTCCGTCTGTGGGGTATTCAGTCTCTGAAAGCAGTTTCGGGTAGTCTACCCTATTCGCGGCGAGCTCCTCTTCGCTGAGCGTACCATCTTGCGCTCCACCTTGGGAAGGCACAACAATGTTGTGGTACCAATGGGACTGGAAATTGTTGCTATAAATACCCCCACGTCTGGCCGCCTGGTACATGCTGCAGGCGGATTCATACGACATGACACAACTCAGGTGCGGTGGCCTCTGCATTGCCGCCCAATAGCCCACCATCCCAAAATAGCTGATTCCTGAAAAGGCCACTTTGCCGGTACACCACGACTGCACCGCCGCCCATTCAACGATGTCGTACAGATCTGGTCATGATGGAACGAGCGGTTAGACAAAACCGGTGAAATTCCCGTGAGTGTTCGATGGCATGGAGCAAATACCTTGCCCTTCCGCATCGGCTTGGATATTGACGGATCGTTCCAAGCCAAAGGGATCCAGTTTCCCTTGGCTGCCCCCAATACCGCGCGTGTCGACCCGAAGAAGGGCGTACCCATACTCCCTGCACTGTTACTTGTAAGAAGGAAAGCTTAGTCCCGAAAGCAAGTCTCATCACATATATCCGCTATGCGTACCCATATAGTGGGCTCACACAGCTCAAAAGCAGCGTCCGGCCCCAAAGGTGTTATGTGCTTGTACATTTCCGCATAAATAGGGGTCTTCGGCAACCCAAACCGTGAGGCATGAATATCCTTGCCGTACGGTCCCAGGCTGCAAATGACAGGCACCTTCCTGGCCTCTTTTGATGCAGCAAACGGAAGGAAGAGGTCGGCACAAAGCTCAATCCCATCGCGCATGGGCACATAGACATGTTTAATGCGGGTGTACCCTTCCACATCCGATGTAGATGTGTGGTATTTTGGGCGAGTCACGGCCATGGTCATACGAGTAAAGTAGAGAAATGGGTGCGGGACTAGAAAGCAGTGCCGAAGATTATTCACTCAGGCTTCTGGAACAATCTGGGTGTCGACTTAAGTAGTTGACGGGCGAACTTCGTGGTGACTGGTGAGTCGTGACGTTTTTATGGAGTGAGCACAGCATGTTGATCAATGTGGGGAAGCCCGCCGCAAACTCCGAGGGGCCGACGGGGCCGACGGGGTGATGACCAGGCCGGCATCGATGGGCGCATGGCGGAGGTGCACAAATGCAGCCATATCCATATTTCAAAGCGTGATGTAGCCAGAGTTATGGGAGAGTTCAGGCCACGACTCGGGATGTCCACCCCCGGCCGGAGCGGTGGAGAGGTTCCCTTCCTTGTATGGGCCGCAAGATGTAGCTTTGCTTCCTTACTTCGTGGGCCATAAATACTTGCTGCATTTCAGTTCTCCAGGCCTCTCCTTCAGAACCAACTCAAGCCGAGTACCCCGTGGAGTGTAGAGTATAATACGATGGCCCCTATCAAGCAATTGGTCGTCCTGCGCCGCAAGGCAGGTCTAACAAAGGACGAATACTTTGACTATCACTATCAAAAGCACGGTGCAATCAGTACTGCGCCGACTGCCGCAGAGACTCCTGGGTAGGCAAGTCTCCTCTTCAACCTTTTCCTGGCCGCTAACAAGAGCGCAGGAAGTACTTCCAGACACATTTCGTTGACGCAGCGTACCATGCGGACACATCACAGAACGTCCCGAATGCTCACCCGCCCTGGGCATTTAGCGATGGCGTTACAGAGCTTTATTTTGACTCTTCGGAACACCTGATGCGCGTCTTTCAATCAGAATGGGTGTCCAAAAAAGTGGGCCCCGATGGCGTGAACTTTTCCGACTTCAGCGCGGTCCTTCCAATGTTCGTGAGAGAGGACGCAGTGCCCCTACCCTTCACTCGTGCATCCGGGATGGACCAGCAGGCCGAGAATACCTTCGTGGCTATGTATTTCGTTGCGCTTCGCGACCCGGAAATCCCGTCGGAAACGTTGATCTCGGAGCTGGTATCATCTCTAGCTTGTCATGCATCGACGGAGGTACAGTCGATGCTGGTGAATGTCCCTGTTGATTCTGGATTTGATCTGGGCGCTTATTTTGGAGGAGAGCCTCCGGTGCGCTATCGATTGGTCTTCACCATGATATTGCGCGGGAGAAGTTCAATCAAGACAATTCGCAATGCCCAGGCCGACTTCGAGGCGAAAATCACATCTCTTGATCTGCCGGCTACATGGATTGCGTTTGGAGAGCGAGCCGTGGTGTTGGACCAGGCCGGCAATGTGAAAGTAAACAGCGATCTCCCCTATTTCGCCCAGAGAATAATTGCTAACCATTTACCACAAGTTCGACGTGAGTCGCCAACCGTTCAAGAATTCCAAGTTCGACTAGACCATCCAGTGCGCTTGTGTAGTGTGGGAACATCTGTGAACCTGCGTTCTATTCATATGCGTCTTTCCAGTACCTAGCAGATGTATCAAGCAGGCTCCCTAGAAAAGCGATCCACCTTGAACACCGCTTCGTATTTATAGTCAAGCTAATTCAGTCGAATCGTGTCCGACAAGAATATATGCTGCGTACTCCGTAAATGTGAGATTAGGGTGCCTTGCATCTTGCCTCACCCGCATGGCCTGGTGGACCGTGACCACCCCGTCGGGTTTGTGGGGGAGGGCCCCAGGGTCGTGGATCTTTTGCCGAGAGATCATAGTAGAACTATATAGTCGGTCCATGGCCTATTTGCTCTGCCGCTTCCGCTTACTCAGTCAGTAATATCTTGATCATTCCAATAGCCAGGAAAGGTAGTATGGCCGTAGAGGGAAAGGTCTAGTAATTATCGATTCTATGTTGCTGATGGGTGATGCCCTAGGGCCAGGTCTCTGTGGGGCTCCTATGGAGGAATGTACATCCTTGAGAATTCTCCCTCTTTGAGTGCACGATAGATTACTTGATACTTCTCGCCTATGCTGTCCGCATCGAATATATCCATCTTATCCATATAATCCAGGATGCACGTCAGAATCGCCATCCAGCAATTTGCAGTTATCTGGACAGATATATATAATCTCTTCCGGAAGAGACTCGTTAGCCCAGCAAAAAACCACTGCCTCTATAAATGTATATATTAATTACTGAGATCAGACTCATCAAAGAAACTATAGTTGAAGTAGTATATTAACTAACGGAGCACATATTCTCTGAGTATATAAAGGAACATAAGTAAGATAACTAGACTTGTCGAATGCAAGTCAGTGTAGTATATAGCTTAGGCTTATTTAACATAAAAGATCAACGTATTTCAACAACCAGCCGGGCTAGCTCAATCGGTAGAGCGTGAGACTCTTAGTCTTCACGGTATCTCAAGGTTGCGGGTTCGACCCCCGCGTTCGGCTTGTCTTTTTTTGCATTTCTATTTTTTCACCTTCCGTATCTCAATCCTGACCGACTAGAGACGCTAGAAAGCTTCCTATGTAGAATACAAGGCAACGTTCTTTCCCTAATCATTTTTAATCAAGAAGCTTATAGTATACTACATAATCCCTACACTTCTACGAACTCGTGCCTTCCTGCCTTCTCCCAACGCAGATGCCTTACTGACTAGGCTTCATCGTCGCCTGGCGCTGCCTTCTTTCCCTTGACACTTTTCCACTCCAACGCAAATGCGCCTAATGCCGTGAGCGAGGCCATGATCGTCCCCAAAATGAACACCCAGCGAAGTGTATGGTAATACTGGACCAGAACCTCATGTAGATCTGCAGCAGGAAGAATGGCGCGTAGGTTGGTTACTCCGGTATTAACAATGCTCCGTGGATCCAAATCGGCAACCACATGGGCCAGCCCCAGCAATTAGCTTCTGGTTGAAGACATTCTGGCCTACGGAGACGAAGATGGTGCACCCAAGTTGCTGGCAGAAGAAGACCAGCGAGACGCCGATAGGGATATCGCGCGGCTGCAGCACTGTCTGCACAGCGATGACTGCATGCTGCATGCCCAGGCCGATGCCGAAGCCCAGGATGATCTGGTAGCCGATCCATATCCGGGCGTGGGTGTCGACCTGGAAGGTGGAGATTAGCCCCGTCCCGATGGGCATCAGGCACGAGGAGGCGATGGTGAAGGGGGGTTGTCTTTCACCATGTTTATTTTTCAAGAATGTTACCATAAGCTGATGCACATGGTCCAATATGGAAAACTGCCAGCAGGCGCTGTCTACTGTCTAGACTAGAGCCAAGACACGAGAGTAGAGAGCTGCATACGACTGAGCAAGACTATTTTGCTAGCCGTGACAGCTAAACGCCTCCCACGTGGAGGAATCCATGTGTGAGATGACTCCGTGGTCATCCCTAGCGACATTAGCCCTAACCTAGCTAGAAGGGAAGATACCGAGGGGCTTGGGGGCAGCTCCCACTTCAACGAATGGGGTTTGTTTCAACCTCACCTCATTTGAAAAAATAATCATCAAAGTCCTCTCTGCCCTAGCTATTTCCAGATATTGCACTCTCCCTCAGCCTGCTTCATTCAGTCATATGCAGGCCGGTCAATCTCGCTACCTTATTCAATCCAAGCGAGACACCTCGTAGCTGGAGCTTCAGTGTCATGTCTACTTGCGATTGATCGGCAATGTCTCCGATGCTGCCACGGATATTCTCTCCCGCCTGGAGGCGCTTCGGGGAACCGTTGCCTCGGTTGTTGAGCTTAATCAAACTACCCCTCGAGCGGCATCCACGGGTAAGTCGGAACGGTCAACGAACCGAGCCGACGGACATAATGAATACTTGAGAGGAGAGTAATGGTGAAGATTCCACGGCCTTTGTAGAGATAATCCTCGGTCTCGGCTCAGTGACTCCGGATACCTGAACGGGCCAAGTGATCCGTCGTGCACCGTGGATTCCGGTATCGGATATGTCCAACGCGGTGAAACATGTCATTCTTGTGTGCCAGATGAATACTTTATCATGGTGAACAGGGCTTTCTTGTGGATACTGTGATTGTGGGGAAGATGCCGCCTTTGACCGTATGGAAGTCTGTGGGTTGTGGCCTCCACATATTCGCCGACTTTTACTGCAGTTGCAACTAAACTGCATAACTAGAGCATGCTTCATGTCTGTTACCACTCGTTCGAAGTCTGTCATCTTGGACAAGAGTGTTGGAATGGCGTCTGTGTCACGAGTGGGTCAATATCAGCCTAACTCTATGCTAAGCCACAGCGGGGTCAGCGGTGATCAATGCAAGGCTGAGACGATCAACAAGGCGTTTATTGCTCAATAGTGTCCACCACATATATATCTCGACTTTCACCTACTCTCTAGTTTCATGCATCTATGAACGGGTAGTAATATTCTTTCCCAAAAATGTCCTCCACCACCAAGGACCCGCAATCACTTCCCGTCGACGTCGAGCAGCAGTGCGCAGTCACTCTGCCGGACGGCGATCGATGCCCTCGGTCGTTGACCTGTAAGGCTCATTCTATGGCTGCAAAGCGAGCAGTTCCTGATCGTTCAATGCCATACGATATGTTGCTCCAGGCTTATCAGAAGAAGCTCCAGACCCGTCAGAAGAACAAGGCTCCTCCGCAGAGGAAGTATCGTCCACCGAATCCACCCAGCTCGTCTCGAGAATCCTCCAGTGGCTCGCACATTCCACCCGAACGCTCTACATCGAAGAACTCGCCGAGCTAGTCATCATCCCAGAAACTGGTACCGACGTTGATAAACGCCTCGCCGACCCACGCGCCATCCTCGCCATATGTCCGGATACCCTCGTAACAACCACACCACCAATACCCAGTAATCCGGACCCCCAAGACGGCTTCAAACCGAACCAGCACCAAGTCCACTTCACAAACCCCTC